CACTCAAAATGAAACTGAACTCATTCAACTGATTCAACCATCCATGTCTACTAGGCCCACAAGGACCCAACATCCACCTACACATCTAAGTGACTATATTTGCCCTACCACTGGATCTACAATGACCCAGGCCCATCAACATATTTCAATTGATTACACACGAATTGAGCCCACTACTTATCAGTAAGCTTGTCACCATGTTCATTGGTAACAAGCCATGACAACTACGTTAGCTAAACTTGAAGAATATTCATAGTTGGACTTTGGTTGATCTTCCACTTGACAAGGTCCCGATCGGGTGCAAATAGGTCTTCAAAATCAAGACAAAACCCGATAGAAGTTGCAAAGAGCGTTACACCTAAATAAAGGGTGTTAATGACATAGCGACATCTGCTCCAATTGTTAAGTTGGTTACAGTCTATTGCCTATTCGTGCTTGTTGTGGCATGAAAACAGAAATTAGATTAGATAGATATAAATAATGCATTTCTCATGTAATTCTTCATAAAGAGGTATACATACGGCCTCCTCCTGGTCTGTGGTGAAAAAGAGTTTGCAAGTTGAATAAGTCCATATATGAGATTAACTAGATTTAATGAAATTGCTTATATGGATGACTTGGTTATTAGTGGGATTGATTCCCATAATATTTGAATTGAAGACAAATCTCAGTCAATGTTTTTCCATAAAAGATCTCGGGCTCCTACACTATTTTTGGGTATTGAGACCTCTTGGTCCCATGATGGTATTTTCCTTGCAGAAATATCTACATGCATGGAATTCTCAAGAATGCAGACATGTTTGAATGCAAAGCTAGCCACTTCCCTATTCAACATTGGCACCTCAAGCCTGATTCAGACCCACTAGTAGATAATCTAGAATAGTACATGGGCCTAGTGGGGTGCCTTCTTTATTTCACCATCACCAGACCAGACATCACTTATTCTATTCACATTCTCAACTAATTCATGTTTAACCCACAACAACAAGCTCATCTAAACACTGTTGTACGCATATTCTTTGATATATGAAGTCCTCCATTACATATGGTCTCTTCCTTCTGATAATGATTTGGTTCTCCATGCCTTCTATGAATCTGATTAGGCTGGTTGCCCAACTACTAGGCATTTAACCATATGCTATTTTATCCCTCTTGGAAACACTCCTTTATCTTGGAAGTCTAATAAGCAATCTACCATTTCTTGCTCATCAACCAAGTAGAGTATTGTGCCATCTCTACTACAACTAGTGGATTGATTTGGCTTAAGCAATTCCACAGTGATCGATCTTAGGCTTGTTCGTTCACAACCAATGGAGTTATTCTGCAACAATAAAGTGGATTTTTGCATTGCTGCTAATTCGGTCTTTCATGAGTGTATTAGATACATTGAAATTGACTGCCATTTCGTAGGAGAATATTTGTAGTCAAAATTGATTACTACATCATACATCTCCTCCAAATTTCAACCCACTAACATTTTTACAAAAGCTCTTGGCCAAGATCAGTTCCATACTTTACTATTCTGCTACTCTAGTTGGGCATTCGGCCTCCTCTTTCTCCTAACTTGAGGGGGTGCATTAAACCAACTGTCATCGAAAATTATATAAATGGGACCTAACTGGAGACCCGAGTTATTATTGTTTCTTGATTCTTTGTATCTATATAAGCATCATGATAATGAATTTGAATAGAGTTCTTTTCTTTATTTCGAATTTCTTAGTGATGGTCTCCAAAGCCCAACAAATAGAAGGATCATTAATATAGGACTTCACACTATATACTTATAGGGTCAATTTGCCATTTACTTTGAGAGGTACCAAGTTGTTGATAGAAGGTCATGGTTATTTGAAAATGATTTAATCAGCGGATTTTTGGGTCCAATTATTTGGGCTACCAATGGAATACTTGAAGGATAGTGCCATTAAGCACGTTGCTTTGGAACTTGGAAAACCTTACGAACCAATTGAAAAGGAAATTGCTAAGTGGAGTTGTTATGGGAATAAAGATTTTAGTTGACATCACATAACCTTTATTGGTTTATCCCATGAAGTCCCCTAGTAAGGCTATGTTTGTTCTTCGGTAAGTTATTTATCCAGGTAAATGTAGTTATCTGAATAAGTTTATGCACCTAGGAGATGAGTATCACTTATTCGGGTAAGTGATACCCAGAAAAATAAACTTTCCCTGATCCCCACATAAATCTTAAAAAAGAACATAGAATTCTTGATCAATGGAAACCAAAATCCTACTGACCAACATTCCCCCTCTCAAAATCCAAAAAAAAAAAAAAACGCTCTGTAAGTGTTAAAACAACTTAAATTCAAATTCAATATATATAAGCACCTCTCTCGAAATTGTATCTTTTGTGCTAGAATTAGCCATGAATATGTCACTTGTGGGGTGAAGCACCGACTCCATGTTGCAGTAGATGATTGTTTGGATCTAGTGATGAAAGAGAAATTGATTGCAATGTCGATCGGGTGATAAAATCATAATGGAAATCTGGACTCCAATGACCATTCCATTCATTTGTCTTCTGTCATAAACCTTGTTGAATCTTGAAGATAAAGTCACTGTAGATACAAACTAGCATATTCAACCTTCCAGTTGCCATAGATAGAGCACAACCAACACTATGAGTGTGATGCTCATCAATCTTGCTCATTTTCCTTGGCAAGTGGAATTACACTCAAGAACTTAGAGGGTGATTGCAAAGAGAATAGGGGTCATGGGGGAAAACTTTAGCTGTTTGGAGATTTGGGGCAAAAGAATATTTCCAATCAATGTTCTTTGACAAAAAGACAAGCAAAAAACTGGTCGAGGCAACGAATCATGCATAGGAAGCTTTCAAATAGCCAAAGTTTTTTAGGGAAATAGGTGGGAAATTCATCGAGTTCTTTACACCTGATACCATAGCATCCTCAACTGTTTTATTATTCAAGAATAAAAATAGATTAATCCCTATGTTGAATAGGTAGGGTGAGATGGGGTAACCCTGTCTCAACCCCTTCCATTCTTGATAATCGATCTAATATACATTTTTTAGATTGATTATATATTTCTTTAATATTAACTAATAATTTAACTTAAATAAATAGTAACTTATTAATGTCTTTAAGCATATTATAATTTGTAAAAAAACTATTTAGTATGTATCATGGATTCTTAATTGATGCATTATTAGTAAAGTTGTATGACATCTGTGTCATGTTACATTGGGGGTCTAGGGGCCGGTTTGGGGAGGGGTTACTAACCCCGTGTTGTGTAACATGGTTTTAAAAAATGATTTGGAAATGGAATCATTTTAGCCACCAGTTTTTGGGTTGATGGTTTGACCGTTCGATTTGAATGAACGGTCCATTTTGACAACAAAAATAAAAATATAAAAAATAATTTAAAAACGGTCAAAACCGTTGAATGGATCGACGGTTCGATCACCCAAGTCAACGAATCATTAACCAATTCAACGATTTTTGACCAGGGACCGGGTTTGAGGTAAAATGGAACCGATTACCTGATTCCTGGGCTGAATGGTCTGACCGTCCCAGTCAACTGCGGTTCAAAAACCATGTTTGTAACCATAATAATGTCATCTTGTTTGTTTTAACGAAATTTCACCAAAAAAAAAAGCCCTTAATTGTATCAGTTGTTGTACCAGAGATTTTATTTTATTGACAGCCCATATTATTCTTTTAAGTTGTAGTTGTATACTTGTATTGTAACTTCACTAAATTCTCAACCATGGAGAAACCGGTCATAGCTAGAGAATACAGTGGAAACAAGCCCAACAAATGGCGGTGAAACTTCAGCATGCATTTCCTTGTCGGATCTCCTTCAACCTGTTGAGCTAATCCATCTCCACGCCAGCTTTGCAAGTCATCGATCGATATTGAAAATGATGTAGGCATTGATGATGAAGCATTCAAGCTTATTCTTAAAAGACTAAACCAAACTACTTAATTGACAGATGTAACCAACTGCTTAATTGATAAATGGACCGAAAGGAAACAAAGAAGATGTAGGCTAGTCTCCAACAAACTAAACCCATGTTCTGTTTCCCTACGCACACGTAAAGAAAGAAATTGAGAGGTTCTTGTGATATCTTCAATCACTCCGAAGATCAATATATAGTGACTGCTAATTAAATGTGCCTTAAATGCATCTCACTGTCACTGCTCTTCCAATGTATCCTGTATACAAGACGCGTAATAAATTAGTCTAAACCCATAGCAGACGCACCAAACTGATCATGTGATCATAATTTAAGCTGATGGGTCATGGAACGACTCATGTTGATCCTCTTCCTCCCAAGTGTAGGTTGGCATCATGAGCCTCAGTCCTCTAAATTTCAGTCTCTCGCACAGGCTTCCACTCTCATATTGAGTGTTGACAACGGCAAGCCATTCTCTCCTGAAATTAAGTTCAGTTGGAGTGATGCCATGACTGGTTGAGTGTTTGGTTTAAAACACTAGCGTGTTCATCGCGGTCGCAGGAAATCTTTCCTTTGCTTTGTTCATGCAGTCCTCACAAATTAATAGCTATTACAGAATTAATTTGTAGAAGAAGATTCGCATTGACTTGGAGAAGCTTAAATATCCTAGATCATCATCGTCATTTTACAACATACTGAGCCTAAATCCGTTGTCGTTGGAGCAGGAGCTTTACGTGCACAATGGTCTGTACAAGTTTTACTGTTTCTTATCTTCCTCGGCTGTAGCTGTAACCATTTTTGCTGCTCTAAAGCATGTCCAGAAGAAGAAAGGTCGGCTCTGTTGTAACTCAGAGAATCCGTCAACAATACCGACGCATTTCATCCGGAGTGGGATGAAGGCCAAGATTGCTGCAACTGGGATAGAGTAACTTGCAACAAATCAACATCCCGGGTGCTTACCATTGATTTTGCTTCTGTAAGGAGTCGAAGCCAAGGAATTTGGTACCCAAATATCTCTCTATTTGCTCACTTCAAGGAAATTAAATTACTGAACTTGCAAGACAACAATATGAGAGGACGACTTAAAGGTATTTTATTTTAACTCCACCAAGTCGGAGTTTCCATCTGATATTAGTTTTTAACATTCTTCTTTGTTTAATTATGAACTGCAGATTTCTGCAACTTGAAGAGCCTAACAATATTGGCTCTCTCCGGAAACCTGATCAATGGCGACATCCCTCTCTGCTTAGGTAGCATGCAGTCCCTTAAAGTGTTAGCCCTGTCTGGTAATCAACTCCAAGGTAGCATTCCTCCCTCTGTTATCAACAATCTAACCAACCTTCGTACCATTATGCTTGGTGACAATGACTTTCAGGGTGTGCTGTCTTTTTCTATGTTTGCAAACCTTTCAGAGTTGCTCACCATTGAATCCTCTGGAAATCATAAATTAGAGATTGAAACTGAAACCACCCGAACTTGGGTTCCATCTTTCCAACTAGAATTCCTTGGGTTGAGAGGGTGTCCTCTCAACAAGCGCAGTGGTGGTAATATTCCAAGTTTCATCTTCAACCAGTCTAGAATCGACATCCTAGATTTGTCAGGCACCTCTCTTCGTGGGAATATCCCTTCCTCACTACTCTACAACTCCTCTTTAGGAATGTTGCTACTAGCAGGCAACCTTCTTGATGGTGAGCTTCCACTTCCTTTCCATAACCATTCTTCACAACTCAAAGTTTTTGACATGGCACATAAATCATATTTCTGGGTTAATACCAGCGAACATCAACCTTTTATTTCCTTCTATTAAAGCTCTTGACATGTCAAGAAATGCTTTTCATGGAGGAATTCCGGAATCCATTAGCAAAATCAGGTCTCTATCTTATCTAGATGTATCAGACAATGAGATATCTGGATTTATACCCCCCCAACTTGATAAGCAACACCAGTCGATTGGAACACTTACACCTATCAAACAATGACCTACAAGGAGAGATTTCGACAACTGATTTCCAAATGCCAAATCTGAGAAGTTTGATGCTTCGCGGCAATGCCTTTACTGGAAACATCCCACAATTTTTGTCCAACCACACTGGATTATTTGTCTTAGACATTGGAAATAACCAGTTCTATGGCAATATCCCAAGTGGGTTATATGAACTTCCTCTGATAGGAGCAGTCCTTTTAGATGAAAATGGATTGGAAGGTCAAATCCCAATACAGTTCTGTCAAATACAGAGCTTGCAGTTCATCGATCTCTCTAGCAATCACCTCTCAGGAGAAATTCCCTCTTGCATCAACAATGTTACTACGTGGAAGGATGATCAGCCTTCAATGTTCCCATCTGCTGTAATTCAATACAAGGATATTTCTTTAAATTGGCCAATCATTGATTTTACAACAAAAGAGCGAAAGAACACTTACATCAGTCAACCACTCTATCTGATGACTGGGATCAATTTGGCATCCAATCAATTGATGGGAAGTATTCCTTCTGAAATTGGAAATCTAAAGATGCTCCACTCATTGAACTTGTCCAACAACCTCATCACAGGTCCTCTTCCTGTTTCTATTGGAAACATGGAAAACCTAGAAAGCTTGGATCTTTCTCGGAACCATCTCACTGGAACGATTCCTCCGGAGATGGTTCAGCTCAATTCCCTTGCTATTTTCAACGTCTCCTTCAACAATCTGTCTGGCAGGATTCCAAATGAGAAGCAATTCAAGACCTTCGATCAAAATAGCTACCTTGGGAATCCTGGTCTTTGTGGTCAACCGTTGGAAAGGAATTGCTCTTCAGATTTCCCAACACCAGCTAACAGGGAAGAGGAAGAAGGTGGTGATGAAGATGAATCTGGCATTCTAAACAACCAGATGATTTTCTACTCATTCATTGCTATCTCATTTACTCTGGGATTTTGGGTTGTCATTGGTCCTCTTCTCTTTTGTAAGAGATGGCGATGGGCGTATTTTGGATTCTTGGATAGGCTTATTGACTGTTGCCTTTAGAATCTCTCAAGAATGCTTTGCTACTAAAATAATCATCTCTTTATAAAAAAATTATGCTCTAAATAAATATGTTTTTGTTTCAATTGTTTCTTTCCATGTTTGTCCTCTTTTTAGGTTCTTTTTCTTACTTTTTTGATTAAGTAATAACGATAACTGGCCATGAAACTGCTTTGCTCTCTCAACTGTTAATGGAAATCAAAAGCTAGAACGTGATGGGAAAGCTTTATTTCTGTATTCCTGACTTAGCGATGGGTTGCTGGTTCAAGCATGTCCCTTTCTTAATGAACCGGGCAATAGGTTATTGCTTTTAAATTTCTCTTACAGTGCAAATACAAGGTTTAAAAATACTGTATACAAGGGTTTTGCACTGAATATATCTGTATCTTGTACTCTTCAAACAAAGCCTAATCTACTCTCTCTCTCTCTCTCAAATTAAGAGCGAAAACATCACAAATTCACAATGGATCGAAAATTTTAAGAGCATGGTTTTGGTTGTTCATGCCAATTAATTCTCTTCCCTCCATATTTTTTTTTTCTGGGTAAATACCATAGAGATTGATCTGCTTGATTTCATTAAATCATTCAGACAACATTAAACTCCTTCCCCTTCATCTTGGGAACGAATCTACCCTGATCACTTGGCAACAAATTTAAGTTTCTACTATCGTCTGTGTGCTATTTCTGGGATAAAAAATGAATTTTCGACCAAGTTATGAGTGCTCCAGGTTTCTGTTTTTTGAGCATCTGATGTGCTCTCTCACTGTCGAATGACGCAACGCAATTGGTCATATTTTGCAACTTCAAACAAATAGAATTATTCTACACAAGTAACACAATTCCTATAAGTGCAACTTCGTCGGGTGAACCCAACCCAAAAAGATGTGGCAATTGAGTTGATATAATGTGTTTTACACTTGACAATTATATATTCTTGTATTGAGTATGATACATGTATTGATTTATGTAAGAACTTAGAACTAAGAAAATGTGCCGTATGCATGTAAGAGGAGAGGAGGATGATGGTCTTATATTAAAAGATATAGCATGATGTGTAGGTATTATTGTCATGATATGATAGTAGAAAGACAGACATTTCACTACCCCTACTATCATCATTGACAACTAGGAATTGATCAATCAAAACCAGAAAAGCACATAAAAGTGATAAAATTCCAATTTCAGCAAACAAAAAATGAGTAAATCAGATATTAGCGTACCAAGGATTGCAAGTTTGCTTTCCTATGGTACCATTGCACATGAAAAGCTAAATTGACAATGCCATTGGCCGCATAACATCGTCTTTCATCTTCAACTAAGAATTGTTGTTCATTTGGCATTAGAATCATAAACAATACATCCCATCTGACAACTTCTACCGTTTGAAGTCTTTTCTTTTAACTTTTCTCTCAGCATCTCATTAAAGTTCACTTTTTTAACATAAATTAGTTATTTGTGGAATCGTAGATGAACGGGAAACTGAGGTTACACAGACTGAACTTGCTACCGAAATTGGTATATTAGTTTCAGCATCTCCCCATCTAGTTAGCTCCACGGTCACCATTTGGTGTTTTTGACACTGGCATTTGCAATTGATGCCAATGCTTTGCCGCAAAACAAACAAGTTCACAGGTCACCTGTGTCCTTGTCAAGGAAAACCATGGCATGGAATCAAGGTTCAACGTATCAGCCCGTATCAGCCGATACATATCATGCCGATGGCTTCCCAATACGCCCCTCCAGGGGTTGTATCGGGTCAGCCACTGGTTCAGAGGGTATCCGGGCCTTAAACCAACCCCTCTGAACCGGTTTCGATAAAAATAAGTAAAACCTAAAAAAGAAAAAACTACCCATACGCCTCTACCGGTCTATCGATATTTTGAACCTTGCGTAGAATGAACACACCACTTTACTATGCATATCAAGTTGCAAATAAATTTACCATGTAATCACCTGAATTACAGTTGCTGACTTCCTGATTCAGAATCTACAGTCACCGGAAAAAAAGATGGCTTACAACTTGAAAAGGTTGGACTCATGAATCTGTCATGTGTGTGGACCATATGAAAGGTGACATCATCAGGCCATAGTAACAACTAACAAAGGGACTGCCTTGGAGTTCACCTCTCCAATCTAGTAATAGCAGGCGTTTACCTCACTTGGCAGATTAAGTTCAATGCAATACACACAATGACATTATATTTTGCTCTGAGCTCTGTCATCCTTCATCTTCACTGCTCTCAATTAAAACAGGTGCCTTCTTGGTCTTCAACCTCTTCTTAGCTCTGTTTTCACTGCATTCCTCTTCATTCCGTTTATCTTCATCAGGTTGCCCAGATTCAATATACTGCTCAACTTGTTCAAGAATTCTCTTTCCATACTTTTCTGTCTTCAATTTCCCTATTATCTTCTCCAACTGCAAGAGACAATACATGAGTTCCTTTTCAACCACAATCTTGACCATTTAAATCAACTAATCAATTGGTTATGCAAGATGAAACCACAGTAGACCCCTTTCTTTCTATCACTAATCTGTAATGAAGAACTCCCTTCTGTTAATTGCAGAAAATAAAAAGGGACATTACCCAAGGTTGGTCCCAGCTATCTGGGGTCTTGGGAGGGATGGAAATCCCATTCTTACAATGTCAATCCAAGATTTTACCATGACATCAAGTAATTGATCCTTAACTGTAGAGAATCAAAAACATTATTTTACCTAGTATAAATAGGTCAGTATAAGTTTTGGCTTCTTTTCCATCTGAGTAGGCCTTTGATTAGAAGTGGAATGACTAAACATAATTGCGGATTGCATAATGGCACTTCTCTTTTCCTTGAGGGTGATGCAGAGGTGAGATGGGGGGTGATGGTGAAAAATGCCTAGATAAGTTAATGCATTTCACATATAACACAGAAGACGGACCAAGATGTTTGAGCAAATACCTGTTCAATGGAAGTTGGTCTCTGTGCACTTAACAAACTAATCTGTTGAGTGGACAAGACAGCATGAGGGAATATACCCCCATGAGTGGAAGAGAGTTCCTTCCGCAGGTTGTCAAGCTTAATTTCCAAAGCTGAGACTGATCCATTGCGTTTCACTGATTTTATATTACCAGTATTACTTTTCCGTCCACCACAAATCTCAAGTTTAACTGTCCTCTTGCCTATACATAATATGAGAAATATTAAGATTCAAATATGCAATACTTAAGAATATATAAAGATGGGATTATACAATTCCATTGTTGGACCCTTGCAAATATCAAGTCAAGTAAACCTGCCAAATAAAGCTAAGGTTTCAATATAGCAATTACACTCTTTTAGCAATGGGCAGGTTCAACAATTTAGCAATCTGATCATAATTGAACCACACATGTTGCATCCTGAATTAAAAGAATATCTTTAAAAGTAACCATACCAAAAAGAAAGAGAGCATCAAGAGTACAAGTCTAGTTCAGTAAACCACGCGTGCAATCTAAGCAACAATGTAAAGTCATAAATAAGCATAATATCTAGTTTTAGGCCCCTAAAGTTTTTTCATTTAGTTTCCTGTTTGATTTAGAAATATGTCTGATTCACAAGTTAATCAGAGTTAGAGATATTATGTGCAAATATAGGTACAATGAAAAAATCTATGTGGACATTGCTTGCAGGTTTTTGGTAGATTTTTTTACCTATGATCAAGGTTCAAAATATCAATATACCCCGATATGGCAGAAGGGGTGTATTGGTACTTTGAACCTCACACAATTTTTTGTAGTTATTTTTTCAAAATTTATGAGGGGGACTTTTATGTTATTTAATTACCAAAAACAAATTTTTTCTTAAAATACCTTAAAAAAGAGGTATCAGTCCCAGAAAGATACACTACAGAGCATACCGTATCGAAATTTTTAATCCTATGATATGCTTCTGGAGTTCTTTACATTTTCATGCATTTGATGTACATTAGTAGCTTTTGTAAACTTCAATTAAGGACAATATAAATGTTGCGGAAAAACCCAAGAAAACAGATTCGAATGGCACTCAAAAAGAAAGTAAAACAGATATAAAGAGAAACAAGCAGAGAGAACAGACACAGATTTACGTGGTTCGGCTTATAGCCTACGTCCACGGGGGAAAGAGAAACAGAAATCCACTATGAAGTTGGTAATGGAGAAGAAATACATAGTTGTGCCCTCACAGAAAACCCTAAGCCCCAAATACACCCAATGCCTCACTCGTCTCTCACAAGACTAAGACTATATACAAGAGAGAGAACCCCCAAAAATACATGACTCTTCATATTCGGTTTGGACCTAGCGGCTCAAACCCTACGCATCCACCACAAACCACTATGAAATTTTGCCTTCGGGTTTTTCTCAAAATAATTCAGAGCGGATTCATGAAGCGGGTCGCCACAAAGAATTCAAGGCACGAACATGACAATAAACACAAAACTTAAACCTAGTAACTGTATACTCTCGTTTAGACCTCCTTCACCAACAAATTAACATTTATTTAAAGGCATCTAATAAAACTGGCATCATACAGAATAGGTTAGCATGACCCTACTCAAGGATGGCATGCACAAATTAAGAAATGGTCCAAATTAACATTATGAGTTGTAGGGCAATAATATTAGACAAATCAACATATATGCCTTCGCTCAAGAAGAGGCATGAGTTATTGGAGAATATACCTATCAGGTTCAATGGAAAATTCTATTAGACAATGAAAGGTTACCGGTATTGTATGGAGCAAATATTTGGCAGACAATAAGCAGCATATCCAAAGAATGTGTTTAGTATAGATGTGGATGTCAAATTGGATCAGTGGAAAAACTAGAAAAAATGGGATTAGAAATGCACAAATTAGTAGAATTCACCTCAATAGATGCAGGCCTGGAAAAAGATGGGGCATGTAGAAAGAAGTAGACTAAAATGATTTGGGCATGTAGAAAGAAGTCAAACTACTGCACTAGTAAGAAGTGTTTAGGAAAGCTGGGGCAGGCCTGGAAAAAGATGGATCAGGGAATTGGAATGATGTCTTTTGGGGCAATAACTGAGTTACTAGCATCATTACAAGGGCTGAAGTTGAGGGAAATCTCCCAAATTTAGAGGACTTCGTGATGTAAGGGACTTTTGTGTTGTATTGAGGTAAATGAAGAATAATAATATTGGTCACCAGCAGTACAGGTACAGGCATACACTAAAGCTACGTTTGGTTTGAAGGAAAATGTAGGGAAAGAAAGGGAAAGGTAGGGAAACCTTTACAAACCTTGTATTGGTTTCCCTGTCTTTCCCTTCCTTTCCCTACCTTTTCCTTCAAACCAAACATAATCTATAAGAAGACATTTGTCAAGGGAGATAAGAATAAAATTTGTTTAGACCCAAATATCAGCCAACCGTTTGACAGCTACATTGGCCAAACAAGGGATCAGTTATACTTGGGGGTTATTTATAGGGAACCCGGGATCCAAATGGAAACAAAACAGAATGGGAACTGGTGGCAGAGGCAGCTGGGGCTTTCCTAGGATGCTTGCTACACATACTCTATATCACTTTACCTATATTCCCAAATTACAAATTAATAAAATATGAAATTACTAATAAAAAGTATTTAACCATTAACATGACCCTCAGTTGAGAAGAATCTCAAAGCAAGATTTGTCTAGCCAACCCCATATGGCATCACAAACTCCTAACAAAAAAGGGCCTAACAGCCAACAGAAACCCCTAAATAAATATAAAATGAAAAAAACAGACAGAAACACCCTACTAAAGAGCCAAACCATGCACAACACTTTCACAGGTACCCTATTCATTAAATAGACAAACAAAAACTCCTTCAACCGAGAACCCCCACTGCAATGAGCCCAGATCTCCTGAAAGCAAAAATCATCTACACACCCTGAGAGCACAGCATCCAGCCACATATTAGGAATATCTCCCATACTTGTATCTTAAGTTCATGAGAAGATATTCCCTATGTACGGCTGGAAGCCATGCTATCAGGGTGTCTACACAATTTTTTCCTTTTCTCCATCCCAACCCCGTGAAAGCAACTCCTTCCATAAACAAACTTTTCATTCTTCTCCCTCTCCCACTTGTAACTGGTTTTTACTTCCTGCCTATATCTTTTTTTATTTAGAGACTGGATCCTCTGCTTCCTCCCAACTGAACGCAATTTTTGAAGCCTCATCAGCTCATTCTATTCTTCTTTCCTACTTCCCACCAAAGCATCCCCATCCTATGTTATTGGTCCCTTTCCTCCAATCAATTAAATAACTTGAAAGCCTAATGCATCTCTCCTCATGAACAAGGATCCAATAATACTATTGGTCTTATCTCTGGTCAATCTTCTTAGGATCTGCCTCCTTGTATTCTGTACTCTTAATTTTATCCAAATTCATCAATTGCTCTAAAGAAGATTCAGAATCACTTGACAGTTGATGTCAGCAAACCCCACTTGAATTGTCCAAACATTCTCTTCCTCTTGAGGCCCTAGTAGAACAGTCTTCAGGTCTCTTTCCTCGCTCTCCTATTGCATGTCTCAGCAACCTCAGCAGCACTTGGATCAATATCAGGATCTGAATCAGTATCCACATTCAACATTCCACATCCTCCCAATAGTGGCCTCTAGCAGATTTCTCCCTCTGGAATTAGCATTCCTCTCCACTCCTCCCTAGTCCTTCAACAGCTCAATAACAAAGAAACCTAGCATAACCATAAAATAATAAAAGAAAAATGCCAATAAAAATAGGCCCATAACATGCTGTTCAATCTCTGAACACTCCCCCTCAAGCTGAGCATAGAGATTAACCAATAACCATGCCTAGCTTTTTTTTTTTTTTTTGATGATTAATAGTAAAATTTTATTAATTCAGAAACTGATTTAGAACTGTAATTTCGTAAAACATCCCATGGAGAGGCATGAGCTGCAGCCCCTCCTAAAAGCTTACAAGTAAACTTGAAATAAATTACAGAAATCACAGCCGAGCCCAAAACAGTTCTTCCCTATTTACCCTTTGCTTAGCTAACACATCAGCCAAAATAATTTGCTGATCCCCCCACCGACCGTATAGAAACCAACATATTCCTTGTCAACCAATTAAACTTCTTAATTTCATTCTTGTAGCACCATACAGTATCCTCAGGGTTTTCCAACCAGCCCACCACCTTGGAATCCCCTTTAATTATCAAATGCTCTACCTAATTGGTTTGGGACTTGCACCCCTTGTACAGAAGCTAATAGCTCTGCCTAATAGAATCTCCGAATCCTAAAGGGCCTGAGTAAATCAGAATAATCTCTCCAATCTTTTTCCTCAGAACACCCCCCATTCAATCAAAGTTCAGCTTCAGTGAACCTTTAGAAGGAGGAGACCACCTTGTAACTCTCTTGTTCTTAGAGCAAGAACACCTCACTACTGCTGACCAGTTTCTCCAAAAATAATTATATAAGAAATGATGAAAAATTTCCAAAGTCTTCAGCCAATTTATTGTCCTATTCAACACAGTCTTTCGGTTCCTGCCTGCCCCTTTCCTTCTCTTGAAAAATTCTGGCATTCCTTTCTTCCCATAATGTCCAAATCAGGGCTGCCCAAGCACATCTCCACATAATTCTCTCTCTTTTTGTAGGCCAAGATAAAGTAGAATGGTCAAAGATCATGCAAGCAAATCCTGGTAAGCTCCAACTACTCCCAAACGACGAGAGTAACCAAGCCCATAAGTCTGCAGTAAATGCATCTGCCCGCCACTGCAGAAATGAGATAGTAACCATGCCTAGCTTGCCAATGCAGAAATGAAACTTGGACAAGATGACTCCTTCGGTAAATGCATCTGCCCGCCACTCTCAAAGTCCTGAGGCTACAAAAGGAAGGCAAACTTCTCTTGATATAGTTCTCTCTGATCAAGTGTCTATCAATGTTAATGCGCTTCATTCTATCATTTTGGACTAGGTTATGAGCCATGATGGGCACTTGATTATCACAGTACATCATCAATGGCTTTTCAAAGACAACACCTGGCTCTTCTAACAATGACCTCATCCAAAGCATCTCAGACACAACATGATCTATAGCTCTATATTCCTACACTGGACCAATCTACAACTAATTGTTTCTTGCTTCTCCAAGAAACCAAAATGACCTCATCCAAAGCATCTCACACAACATGATCTTCTA